ATTACGGATTGCTTGTAAAACTGCTGTATGCGCTCATTGCAAATGGGAACAGGGACCTCCAATGGACAAAGGAGCCCACACGAGCCTTTGACCAACTAAAAAGAAGGCTCTCGTGTCAGCCTTCTTATTTACATCTGGGACTTCCAGATGTAAATAAACCATTCTTCCTCTTCTCCCTTGAGAAATAGGGGATTGCCCTGGGAATACTAGCACAGGACCTGGGCCCATATCGAAGGGCAGTTGCTTATTTTTCTAAGCAGCTGGATGCTGCCGCTAAGGGATGACCAGGATACCTCAGAGATACCTGCCTGGAGACCACTGAAGCTACCTGCTCCAGCCGTCCAGATCTGAAGGACACTCCTTTTGACGAGATGGAAATATGGGAGCAGCTACGTCATCAGCGGAAAACGACATGCTGGGTATGCAGTTACCACTTGCAAAGATGTAATAGAATCTGGAAAATAAACATCTATACGGACTGAATAACGAGATTATTGGAAGCACATTAAAGGAAGAACACTGGAAAAGACATTGGGGAATAGATGCTTTGTATAACTATCTAATTGGAAAAATTGTTGCCAGGAACTTATATGCTACCATCACTCAAATAACTTAACAATGTGAGCTTTGTCTCCAGACTAACCCCCAAACCAAAACTGGGTCAAATTGGAAAAGGCCATGGGCCCGGGCAACAGTGGCAAATTGACTTTTCTGAACTTCCAAGAAAAGGGGGGTGTTGATATTTACTGGTGTTAACAGATACCTTTTCAGGACGGCCAGAGGCTTTCCCCACTACCACTACCAAAGCCCGAGAGGTAACTAAGTCTCTTGTAGAGAAAACTTTGAAACCACAGTGGGACGGACTATACCAGGTGCTCCTTACTACCTTCACCGCAATTAAGACCAAGGAACAGAGTGCCTGGATTCACCATTCTCGAGTGAAGAAAGCTCCAGAAGCCCCCTGGAAAGTAACACTGGGTGAAGGTGAATTGAAACTAAAGCTCAGTCAAGCAAAATGAGGATGTTACTGTCAGAAGTATTTAGTAATACAATTTGCAGAAAGTTTAGTTAACAGAATTGTTTTATTTTTGTGGCTTATAGTAGTAATTGTGATTCAGGAATTGGAAGTTGCCTCTATGATAGTAGAGAATGGTGAGTGGCCTTGGTCCAAAGCCGTAACAACGGAGGGTAAGAGCATTAATGGAAAGTTAGCAATTGTGGTTAAGTGGTGAACAAATGGTGACCATTTATATATGTTAACAGAATGGCAAAAATTAGGAGAAGAATGAACACACCAAAGAACCATAGGGGATGAAATTAAAATAGGGTGCCAAATGATTAACAGTCCTTACAATCATCCTTATTGGCACTGGGAACTAGCCAATGGCAAGTTTCGAAGCTATTACCAAGGCAGGAAAGGGCTGAAGACCAAGACCACAAACTAATAATAGATGCTCTCACAAGTTATTTGCAAAGAATAAAACAAGATGCAAATCACCACTGGTGGGACACACTCTTTGGATGGTCACCAACTGCAACTGGGATTCTGAACACATTGTGTCACCCAGTTATTGTTTTATTGATATTAGTTGGTGTAAATTTAATATTGTCTTTCATAATACTTGTTTGGAATTGGAAATTGTTACAACGAATGGCGATATTAGCTTCCTTGATGAAAGTACAAGGCAAGGCATTAAGGGATACATATCATACAGATTGGAAAGAATTTTTGTATTAAGTAAAATAATTTATTAGATTTTAGATTTACTAGATTTTCCATAAAGGGGGGACTGAAACATGGGATTAGAAATTAGAGAGCAATTGATTAAGAGTGAATATGAGCAACACTCACTGCTTAATATGTGCTATATTTGTGATGTACTGTGCCTGTACTGTGCTTAGGCCTCCGGGTAACAGGAGCCCCCAGGACCCTGAGAACCAGATGAAACCAGCCTTATGGTTCAGACTGTGACCAAGGGCTCAGAGATAAGAAGGACTCTTCATAAAAGGACAAGACAAAGAATTGATAAAGAAAATTGATAGCCAAGGAGCAACTGAGTCTGCACAAAGACAAGAGGTCAGCTAGCGGTGATGAGGAAGAGTCATCAGCCTTCATCCCCACCACCCCCGAAGACCACCACCAGAATACACTGCACAAGCACAGATGGGAGGAGTTTATGGAAATGACTCCTTGGAACTAATTTTAATATGAAGCGGGGACAGATTATGAATATGTATAGGCGTATTGGGAAACTTCATGCAAATGTAACTCTTTACTGCGTATAACCAAGGCAAGTTGCCACGTCAGGCACGCACGACTTTGGTGGGACTACCCCCCGTGCCACCCAGCACTGACTAAACATACCAACTGTACAATCTGACTGATTGTGGAGTCCGTTTTCTGCGAGTCAGTATCTGGTATGTGTGGGTACAGCCTTGGAGATACAATTCAGCTTCACCCTGAAAAAACAAACAAACAAACACCATGTACCACAAAATCATAATAAATGCAATTACCGATTTTCAGTTCCATTAAAACTTTGCAGACAGGGCCAGAACATCAGAAATATGTCTGACATCTGCCACAAGGTGTTTTTGGAGTCTCAGAGGCAGCCTTTGTCAGAATGCAGTAGTATGTGTAAATCATTTCTCCAGCGCCTCCATATGGCCTAGTTGAGGCACAGATTCAGGAGTGCTGAGAAAATTGGCTAAATCCCTGAAAAAGTTGTTTGCTGGAGTTTACCAAAACACAAGACTATATAGATACTCAGGACCTTGGAGATAGCTGGTTTATTTGGTCAATACATATAACTCTACTAAATTAATGTTCCTTCTCTTGCCCACAAAGGTATTTGTAAGGAGAAAATTGTTTCCTTTTTCCCTGCCTCTATCAGTTTTCTAACCCATTCACTTACTATAGTGGTGATGGCACTTTCTTTTCTTAAATCTCTTGAGATTTCTGATATGTTTTCTTTTCTTTTTTTTTTTTTTTTTTTTTTCATTTGTGTTAGATGGATGCAAATAAACACATTCTATACTTCTCTAGTGTTACCACAGTAAATCTAGATATTAAAAACCAAGCTGTGTGGCCTATCAAAGTGCCACAGTTTAAGTTTTGCCGGCATAGTAGGTTTCCTAACAAAATTAATACACTGCCATCACTTGGAATACAAGGGGAAGGCAAGACCATCCTCAGTTTAAAAGTGTGGAAAAACATCCTCAAGTCAAAAACCTTCACCTTTCCAAAATACTCACAAACACACCCCAAAACACACCCCAAAACTGCAAACTTCTTTCCTACTTTCTTAGAATAGGATTTTTTTTTTTTTAACAACACCAGGACTGTGTTTTCCATCGCCAGTACACTGGTTTTCTGATTGCTTCACTTCCAAGTCTAACCCTGCCACGACCACCAGCAATTCACTGGTGTGGCCTCATTTCCATGTCAGGAGCCTCATACTTCCAGCAAAATCTGCAGGTGTTCTCTGGTTGTATGAGGGTTAATGATCAGGGTCAACAGAAATGACCTGCAAGGACTCTTCTATCTTGCAGTGATTTTGATTGTTTAAGTGAACCAGCACAACCAGTAATTTGAGCTCCTTAGGTAACACAGACAGCAGCTTCCAACAGTGATAATTCCCCATCATCTGTGCATCTCCATTATATCCAGATATATATCCATTTATCTTAAAAAAAAAAAAAAAAAAGTTTTTTACTGTTGTTGTTTTCTCTATTCCACCAACACCAAGCTTTGCAGCTCTCCAGCAGCTTGTGTTAGGTAGCCACAAACCGCCTGACCCATCCTTAATTCACCACCTGAACATTGCGTTTTAGCTGTCAGAGAGGACGTACCTAAATTAGGGAAGTACAGCAATAATCTCGACAGGATCATTAGTAACAACCTTCCAAATGTTTGTGGAAGAAGAGCTGTGGGATAAATGATTTTATATAGCTGGCTCCATGAAATGTGGCTGCTCTTTCATCATCATCTCTCATGGGTGCCAGTATTGCCATTCCTGACATTCCTGAGTGTTTAAAAATGCCAAGTGAGACTGAATGTCCAAGAGGTTTTGTTTTGTTTTGTTTTTTTACAGGTCCATTTTTTATTTGTTGTTTTTTTCTCCAAAGTGTTAAAGAGATACTGGAGGAAGACAGAAAGTAAGCCATATGCCCAGAAGGAATGACAGGAATGTGGAATAGCTAACCACGTGAAAATCTCTGAACACAGGAAGTATTCCTTTCCTCTTCTTCTTTTTTTTTTTTCCTCATAACTGTTAACTCATCATTTTTATCTGAAGATACACATTTGTATATAAGAAAAATAATCTGTGGCTAATGTAAGTGAACAAGCATTTAGATGTTCTTCCAGCCTTGCCAGGTTCAGTCAAAAGAAAATCAGAGGCAGGCAGAAATGGGAGCTACTGATCATCTTCCTCTGAGATCACTTAGATCTCTGGGTGGATCCTGTCCACGCAGCAGAGCCTGGTTGGGTTCAGTTCCTGGTTCATACATGTTACTTCACAAGAGATAGTTCTGCTTTTGTTTTCCTTGGAGTTAATACTCAGTTGCCCAACACAGCCTTAAACCACTACACGAAATAAATGCCAACAAAGCGCTCATTCATATATTCCGTTAGCGTAGCCGATATGTACTCTGCTTCCTTTTTGCACAGAAACTTTCTCCTCAGGCTTAACCATCAACCTCTCTCCCCTCCCATTACAACGCCCATTACCCTTCAGGCTCTGGAAGCAGCTACCTGCTGCTTTGAGCAACGCCTCCCGGCTGGCTTGCAGGTAGCTCACGAATAAATAAATAAATAAATAAATAAATAAATAATTTCGAGTGCAGAGAGGGCATTTGCGTACGGCACTGACAAACATTTCCCCCCACACCCGCTGCTCGGGCCCTCCCCGGGCTGTCGGTGCCGCCTCATGGCGGCGGCGGCCGCTCCCTCAGCGCCCCCTGCCGGCAGCGCCGCCATTACCGGGGCGGGGCGGGGCGAGGCAGGGGCGGCCCCCTCGGCGCAGCCGCGGTCTCCGTGTCGGTCTGTCCGTCTGTCCGGTGTGTCCGTCGGTCTGTCTGTCCGCCGCCAGCATGCCGCGGGAGTTCGAGCTGTGCCCCGGGCGGCGGGTGGGCGGCGACCAGCCCTGCTTCATCATCGCCGAGATCGGGCAGAACCACCAGGGCGACCTGGACATCGCCCGCCGCATGATCCGCATGGCCAAGGTGCGCCCGGCCGGGGGCGGCTGAGGAATGGTTTATTTATTTATGTATTTATTTATTTATTTGCTGCTGTTTTTACAGGCATTTTGAAATGGAGGGGTGGCGGGGGGGGGGGGGGGTGCCTTTGTCACTCGTGGTGGTGGTGGTGCTGTCGCTGAGCGTGCACCGCCTCCCTTTTCTTTCTGCAGGAGTGCGGAGCAGACTGCGCTAAGTTCCAGAAGAGCGAGCTGGAGCACAAATTCAACAAGAAAGCCCTGGAGAGGCCCTACACCTCCAAGCACTCCTGGGGAAAGACCTACGGGGAGCACAAGCGCCACTTGGAGTTCAGCCATGACCAGTACAGAGAGCTCAAGAAATACGCCGAGGAAATTGGGATTTTCTTCACGGCGTCTGGCATGGATGAGGTACGTAAGCCATAGGGGACTGACAGGGAGAATCCAGCTATCCTGCCTGCAGTCTGTTACTCATGTGCTATATGAGTATATGAGTCTGTTACTCATGTGCTATAGCTCTGACATAAAGAGAATACCAAGTATGTCTGGACGTTGAGCTTGTAAATGAGGAAACTGGAGGAAAGGTACTTCTGTCAGTTCCCTTGTGCATCTATTCTGATTGACCAGACAGCTGAATATCTTGGAAGATCTGACATTTATGCTGAAGTGTGTATGCACAGTACACTATATTAGAGACTAGGCCTCAGCTGGGCTCCCTAAACAATTGAGACTTTGAGAGTTTAGATCAAAAGGGTGATCTGAATGATGCTTAGCGTTGTCTGCAGTATCAGCTCCAACACTTCAAACTCTCCTGTGCATTTGAACTAGATTCTGTTCTTAATACCTATTATTTCTCTCTTATTTTTTTCTTTCTTTCTGCTTACTAACTTCATATTTCTAAGGAGCAGAAATGCATTTCTTTTTCTTTTACTAATCAAGGTGGAGAGGGTCTCCACCTTGCTCTGTTATTTCTGAAACGTTTACTTACTTTGTCAGTGGGCTTTGGGACAGTCAGCCACCAGCCTGGAAACTCCATGAAGCTCATCTGTTGCTGTGTCCCCTTGAAAGTGGTTGAAGTCTTTAACTCTTGCACGTTGCCTACCTCAAAACAATGTTAATTGCAGTATTAATAAGTGCAGTGTACAGTTGAAATGTGTAAACCGGAAAGTCCAGGTAACAGTTAAACCTCAGCAGAGATTGCAGATTATGTATTGTTCTAGTTTTCTTTGTGGCCTAGAAAATAATAGAGAAACAAACTGAACGAGAGCTTCCAGAAGCAAGCCAGACACTCTTGCGTAAGGCAGGCACACGGTCATCACTGTCACTCTGCATGTAGCCTTATCCAGGATGGGACAAGGATGGGATTTATCTAGTGTTCTCAGGTGGTCTGTTCAGTGCTTTAAGTGTCTTACTTTCCCTACCCTACCATCAGAGATAATTCCTGATGTATCAGCTTAATCTCCTTTCTTATGATTCTTCGTCTGACATAAAAGTTCATACTTTCATTCTCCTATCTCCTGTTTATTCAAACACCATTATTACATTTCCCTTTTTTCTTCTTGTTGATATTTTTCTTGACTAAGTGGTTTCAAATCCTTGAAGTTTCTTATGTTGTCTTTTCTAGTCCTCTGCCCATTCCCACTGTTTCTGTTAAGAGTCTGTCCTATGGACCAAAATCCTTGAATTGCTGTGCCCCAGCTGAGAGTGCAGCTGCCAAACACTGTAACACCATCAAAAACTACTTCAGACGTCTGATAGACAAGCAGGTGTTTTGCATGTATCACAATAGCCCAGTGCCATGGGCTCTGAAGTAGATCAGGGAAAAGAGGGTGTTGTGATATTTATTTTATTGTGCCTTCATGTGTAAGGACCAGCTGAATAACAACACCTACTCCATCTTTTCCTTTAGGAAAAGAACAACTACACCCAGTAGCCTCTGACTTCTGTCAGAGGCTACTGCATGTCTTTGGGATGTCTTTGGGATGAAAAATCATGCCCTTTCTTTTCCTCCTTCTACAGTCTGTAGTGAAATGCAGAACATCTTTCGTATGCAGCAGCTAATATCACTTTCCACCTCTAAGATCTCTTGTTATCTCAAGGTGCTGTGCTTCTCTGAGCCTGTGGGCACATCAGGTAGTTAACACTACTGACACCTACTTGAGCATCCTCTTTTGAACAGCAGTTACTTTATACAGCTGCTGACACTGCTGGTAGTATTTGTGCTAGCCCTCTTCAGACTTAATCCAGACTTTGCACAGATTGAGGTAGTAAGTCCTTGGGAACATTAGCTTCTGTGAATTGAGCATAACCTCTGGAACTGCAGGTAAATTGAAGAGGTTAAATTGTGTGTTCAGTCATATGAGGAAGTTCTGCGAAGCAATGTGTGACGTAAATACAAAGATTCTGGGTAACTCCTTTATCTGCTCTGCTCCAGTGTGTACTGGAGACGGAACAGGATCCTGTTGAACCACTCCCTTTTATGTTGTCCCTGCTATTTGAAGTTAGACAGGATCACAGACTGGTTGGTTGGGGCTGGAAGGGGACCTCTGGGGTCATCTGCTCCAACCCTGGTGCTCAGGCTGGTCCTGTTCCGTGAATCTCCTATGAGAAAGCTGCCAAATTCTGTGAGATAGTCACCTTATGAAGAGTGGCATTAGATATTGGGCCCATATGTCATACTTCATTTTGTGCAGTCTCTTCTGATTAGATTGGTGGCTTCTTAATATGTCTTCATGCACAATGCATCTTAGTGAATAAACCATATTAAAGAGGCATTACACATCCTAGACACAAGCAATTGAATCTGCATTATAGTGATTATAGAAAAATTAGACTGAAGAAGGTGCGAATCTGTTTTGAACGTTACTTTTGTCTTTCTCTGGCACTAAGTTAATTTGGCTGCAACAAGGAATGAGGCAAAGAAATTAAAAGTGTGTGGGGAGAGATTGAAAGGGGGTCAAAGTTAGGTAACTACTTCATTGTTTCACCCAAATGTGAATGAAAAATTTTAATGTCGCTTGTGATAGGTTTGGGATTTTTGTTTTCATTAAATATACTTATTTTCAAAAGGTTACTTACTGATGCAATACTAATTTTAATGGAACATCCAATACTTCCTGAATTATCTCAAATATAGCACACGCATTTTTAGAAGGAGGAAGAGTGTAATTAAGATTTGAATAAATTGTCTCCCTGTCTTTTCTTTGGCACATCTTATAGTTTTTTTTGGATATCTCTCATAGAAGAAAATCCATTGTGGCTTCCTTTGATTTGCAAACATGATTTTTCCATGTCTGTGGGTTACTTGTTCTTTGGAAGGGAAGCATTAACTTTTTCCACAAATAGTGACGTGGCAAGTAGCTAGATGTAGTAGTTTACATGTGGTGGGAACTGAGGGGGATCAGCCATTGCAAACAGGTTAGCTAGACAGGCAAAGCTGGTGACAGGTTTCTTCTAAGAGTCAAAAGGCAGAAGAATACTTGTATGACTCTTCAGTGTCAGAGCTGTGCAGGAAAGCTACCTGTAGATTTAAGTGCTGCAGATGTGAGGCAGGAAAACTGCCTCTGTGCCTGCAGCACGTTCACTCTTCAGGGGGCTAACACCCATCTGCAGGTAGTTATTCTTCCTGGTAGTGGTAATAAAATCAAGCAAGAGTGCCGTGGCCCACAGAGTTAGAGGAGTAGGGGAGCATGCCTGTACGAAGCTGCTGTACCTAGAGCAGGCTTGACCAGCTATGGCCAGGAGACCAAAGAGACTGCCTTGAGACAGGGAACCTAATAAAAAACCTGTGCAAAATCTGTGTAAAAGAAGGAACCTCGGTAATATTTGGTCTGGAGGGAAGTCAGAAACTAGCATCCTCAGAATAGTAAATGTTATTCAGGAGTTGGACATGTAAATCCGTTGAGATCTAGCCTTGCCAAAAGTTAGTACTGTTTGATGAGACTTGCATGAACTGAACTGAGCAGACTGAAGTACCTGATGCATCCCTTGCTCCTTAGCTTGTTCCAGTAAGCACCTTTTCCAAAGTCTCACTTTGAATAAAATTAGTCCTTTCCCCAGGGTAACAAATGTTGATATTCTTACTATTTGTCTTCTGATTATATCAAGAGCATTTTGATAACAGTCTCAGAAAGTCATGCTTAATGTTTATATGCATGCCACAAGGCATCTGACAAATCCTGCCACACTATCTATGCTCTATCTTAAAATCTAGTCCTTTGATGGGCTCAGAGTTTCCGAAATGCTAACCTGCAGACCAGCCTCCTGAAGCAAAATGGTGTTATCTGCTTTTGATTTATTTGACCTTTTGTGTTTTTTTTTTTTTTTTTTTTTTTTTTTGTACCTGATACCATTGATTCGTGAGAAGTATGGTTTGTGGGGCTGTGTATATATGTGCCCTTTTTACTTAAGCTTTGGCTTTACTGTTTTGTAGGGTTGGGTTGCTTTTATTTGTTTGTTTGGTTTACTACAGCATGGTAGTTCTTGTCTGTTCTTGACCCAGCTGAAGTGGTGTTTTGAAAAGCAGTGATTTCTTTTTCTTGCAGATGGCTGTGGAGTTTCTACATGAACTGGATGTTCCATTTTTCAAAGTAGGATCAGGAGATACAAACAATTTTCCGTATTTGGAAAAAACTGCAAAGAAAGGTAAGCATTTTCTTTCAAGCAGTCTTGGTAAACGTCACTGTGTCTCAGTAGCTCAATTATTACATAATTCTTCGACTTGATTTTAGAAAAAACTCGTAGGAAGAAAAAAGATTCACCCACCTTCTTTTTCCAGTTCAATTGAATTCATTCACTGCAAGAATTTCAAATAAGCTTTTGTAGCTTTCTTACGGACCTCACCTTGAGATCTGGGGCAAACCATTTTTATTTTTTTTAATGGCTAGGACGCCCAATGGTGATTTCCAGCGGGATGCAGTCGATGAACACCATGCACCAGGTTTATCAGATTGTGAAGCCCATCAATCCAAACTTCTGCTTCCTGCAATGCACCAGTGCCTACCCGCTTCAGCCAGAGGATGTCAATCTCCGTGTTATATTGGTCAGTGAGTAACAGAGTGCCATGGGTAGGGTACCAGAGAAGAGCTATGTATTTCTATTGCGTTATATTTCCAGATCTTGGGCAAGCTGGAATTCACTTCCAAGATGTCAGAAGAGTGTAATGTTCCTCTAATTCATGCAAACATTGAAGTGAATGTATTAATTGGATCCTCTTTTAGCAGAACTCAGCTTTGAAGAATATGATAAGGTATATTACTGTTGGGGCATTTGCAATTAAACAGAGGGAAGCAGGAGGTTGAAGTGTCACCCCAATCTTTACAATGGAAAGAAAAGTGACACAGACAGTTACCTCCAAGAAGGTGCATGTAATTGAGAACATGATCCTAAACAGGGGTCAAGACCAGAAACTTTCATTGAAAAGGCTTCATGTGACTATGAGAGCTGCAAAGGAAATAGATTGTAGTTGCCTTTGCTGAAAATATTACTTGGGTATGCTTGATGCTAATGCAAGAAGAGGTTCCCAAATTGGCCGGTGTTCAAACATTTGCCTACCTTCAGTTTCAGTAGAACTAAGTATGACTGCATTTAATTGCCCGTAAGACTGGATAACTCCCCTGTGTGCTGCAGAAAGGATTGCTTCAGAGTTGAAATATGGGGAGGTGCAGAATCTGCTTTGGATACAAGTTAAGTAGTCCATTGGGTTCTTGGATGAAAATAAAGCACTACTTTATCAGTGTAATTTACAGTGGTGTAGGCTTTGAAGACCTTGAAGAGTACAACTAAATTAAAAAGTGTAAGAAATTGAAGAATAGAGCATATGTCTGTCATTGTCAGTATTGATAATCCCAATGAACTTGTTAAAACAAGATGTTTGGTAATGCATGACTTGTTCAAAAAAAAAATCATTTTGGGCATAACCAACCACTTCTGTGGCGCAGTAACTGTCCGTGTTTTCATTGCAGTTATCATTGTTAAACTTGCTCCATCTCTGAAATTGCTGCCTTGATAATTCAGACCAACTCTGTCCTGATTCCAGGCCTATCAGTCAGCTTTTCCTGATATCCCCATTGGATACTCGGGGCATGAAACTGGCATTGCCATTTCAGTGGCGGCTGTAGCTATGGGTGCAAAAGTAGTGGAACGCCATGTGACTCTTGACAAAACGTGGAAAGGAAGTGACCACCAAGCATCCCTGGAGCCAAATGAACTGGCAGAGTTGGTGAAAGCCATCCGTACTGTGGAAAAAGCAATGGGTTCTCCAATTAAACAACTCCTGCCTTGTGAAATGGCTTGCAATGAAAAGGTAACTTGTGCTTTTGCTTCACATCAGCTGAAAGTCTATATTCATGTGGTGGCTTTAGCCAGCTGGACAGTTGAGCTCCACCACAGCCGGTCTCTCACTCCCTCTCCTCAAAGGAAAAGGAGGAGAAAATACGATGAAAAAAAATACTGAAAAAAAATACTGAAAGGGCTCAAAGGTTGAGATAAGGACAGGGAGATCACTCACCAATTATCATCACAGGCAAAACAGACTCAGCACAGGAAGATTAATGTAATTTGCAGCCTATCACGAGCAGACTAGCACAGTGAGAAACTAAAAGCAAACTAAAAACTGCTCCAGCACAGGTCCCCCACGGGTGGGGGCAGCTCCCCCCAGACCCCCTGCTCCTGCGTGGGCTCCTCTCCACGGGCTGCAGCTCCGGCCCGGGGCCTGCTCCTGTGGGGGCTCTCCATGGGCCGCAGCCTCCTCCAGGCCACATCCACCTGCTCCAGCGGGGGCTCCTCCACCCATGGGGGGGCTGCAGCGTGGAGATCTGCTCCATGGGGGACCCATGGGCTGCAGGGGGACAGCCTGCTCCACCAGGGGCCTCTCCCTGCACAGCCCGCAGGGGAACTGCTGCTGCCTGCCTGCAGCACCTCCTGCCCTCCTCCTGCACTTACCTTGGGGCTGCAGGGATGGTTCTCATTCATTTCTCACTCCTCTCTCCCAGCTGCTGTTGCCTGGCATATTTTTTTCCCTTTTGTTGTATCTGCTCTCACAGAGGCCCACCCAGCATCGCTCCCTGGCTCAGCTCTGGCCAGCAGCAGGTCCCTTTTGGAGCCATCTGGAGCTGGCTCTGCTCTGACATGGGGCAGCTGCTGGGTTCTGCTCACAGAGGCCACCCCTGCAGCCCCCATGCTACCAAATTCTTGCTACGTAAAACCAATACAGAAAAACTGCCTGATAATATGCACATTATACTTAGGTTTATATTCTCGGTATCAGTTATTGCAGTAGTGTTTCTGCCTCTGCACTCTAAATTTTCTGCTGCTGGGTAGCAGCATGCGCATTGATAATGTGTAGCACACTGTAACATCTTTGTAGACCTATCATTTCCTATGAAGTGCTATTTCTTAACTATTTTTACCAAAGCATAATGCTGGCAATTTTGAGTATAGTGCAGTTGTATGCATACCATCCATTGAGGAACTAAGCTGCTTTTGCACTAAGCTGGAATACTGGTCAGTCTAATGAGATTCTCTCTATTCTGTTTCTGGGATATTCCAGTGAGACCTTGTCTGATTTCAGAATGGGTTTAAATCTTCCTGACAGCCTTGTCAGAGTGAAGGCCTCCATGCTAACTCAAACTTAATTTGGACTAAGAAGTAATCAATGGGGGTGGGAGAGGGAGCAGTCCACTCAACCTCTTCCCAAGTAACTGCAGGTTTTTTTTTTTCACCTCTTTTGGTATTCTGGGTCTAGGAATGTATTTGACTCAGACTTTCTTTTTATTCGCCCCTGTAGCTGGGGAAGTCTGTTGTGGCGAAGGTGACAATTCCTGAAGGCACCGTACTGACCCTTGACATGCTGACAGTGAAGGTGGGAGAGCCTAAGGGATTTCCTCCAGAAGCCATCTTTGATCTGGTGGGCCAGAAGGTTAAAAGGCATATTGAAGAAGATGAAACCATCACTGAGCAGGCAGTAGAAAATCACGTCAAGAAAGTAAAGTGCTAAACCAAAGTACTCTGTTACACATTTCATGACGTAGGACTGCCCTACTGCACAACATATTTAAGTATAGCAGCATGGTAGATTAGAAGAAAGGATCCAAGCAGATTATAATTTTCCAGATCCAGTAGCAGGAAGTTTTTTCAGCAAGGGGATATAAATTATGAAAAGCAATTTTTAGAAACTGTGTTATCAGTGCGTGTAGAAAACACCATACTCCTTTTCCATTCCACTTAACCTAGATTATTTCGGAGTTTTGCCAAATCAGAGACCAAGGTCTGCTGCTTTCCAGTTTGCCTTTTCTGGTAAGAATACACTAAATCCTAATTATTTTTCTGCACTTCGAATTGTCATGGCGCTGTCGTTTGATGTTTCCCTCTCTCTTCCATCATTTTCCTCATCCCTGCAAAAATAGGATGCTAGTTGGAGTTAAATGCAGAGAAGTGCAGGGTTACATAAACTTAACAGAAAACTTTACACATACAACCCGATGGATTTTTCTCAAGGTGTGTCTTAAGATTTAAGAAGAAGTCTCAAGATAAATGGTTTGCAGGAACCTGCCTAAGGAATAGAGGTGGACAAAGTTGAAAAGAAGCATCACAGTGAAGGGAGATAATTTTCTATTCAGTAATGCCACTGTAGGAAAAAAACATCTTGAGAAAACTAGATTCCAGCATGGCCATACTGTCTCAAGAGACAGTTCCAAGAAATGTAGTAAATTGGATGGGTAGAAAGCCCCCATCTAACAGGCAGAGCCTTTTTTGTACTTTTTGTGAACTAAAAGGCAAGAAAGCAAGCTGGACAAGTTAAGGGGAAAAATCAGTCCAAGATGATCAGTGGAAATAAGTTTAATCAATGCATCCAGAAATTGGCAAAAGCATCCACCGTCAGCTGACTGAATCCTGGCATCCTAATGATTTTTGCAGTTCATTTGGGTATTTCTATTTGTATTTGGGGCAACTTCTCACGCTGGTAAAGATTCAGCAGCCTCCTTGCTGGACTAATAAGCAAAGGCACTGAACTGGGATTTTTGTTTTCCCACTCATTGCTCTTTGAAACAGCTGAGGTTGGCTGCCTGACTAGATCACATCACTGACTAGATCACAGCATGACAGTCCATACTCCTCCATCCACTCCACCCTTCCATCACAGCCTCTTACTTTTCACGTAAGAAGTGCAGTTCCTCTCCCCAGTCGCCTGCAGCCCTTACCTTTGTCCAGGAAGGATCTGCACGGCAGCAGGTACAATGCATCTCTCAGCTAGCTTGGGTCGGCACAAAGCCACCTTGTTGTAAGTTGTCTGCATTTGTCCGTGACAGAACCATTTACTAGTTACGGTTATTTGGAACTTGCTACCTCTTGGTTATGAATTGGTGAAGTATTTTGAATTTGATGATTGTGTTTCTGTACCTGTGAGCAGTTTACTCTCAAAACGTTTACCCTGCTGCAGTTCCGAGGAGACTGTAGTCCTGTATTTGAAGTGGAGAGAAGAGGTCTTTGAATCCTGTGCTTGTGACAGTCTGTGAGCTCTGATTGATGCAGTATGCTTGCCTTACATTAAGAAACAACTCAATTGTTAAAAGATCTTTTTTTAATGGCAATTTTAAAAAATAAATTGAGCTTCTAAAACAAGCTATCGTTTTTGTGTTTCAGTGTGTGGTTAGAGCTTGCCCTTGCTAGCAGCAGAGAGGATTCCGGGGCCGATAGTATCTGAACCACCCAAGATTACCTTGCTTGCTTTGAGGGGCAGTGCTCCTTCAGTGGGGCGGTACAGCTGGTTCTAGGGAATGGGGGCAATGCAGGCTCCACAGATTTCTAGGACTGTAATTTATCATAGAATCATCTAGCTTGGAGGAGACCTTCAAGATCATCGAGTCCAACCATCCACTTGTCATATGAAGTCCTATCTCTAAGCCACATCTGTTAAGTACCTCTAGGGATGGGGACTCCGCCACTTCACTGGGCAGGCTGCTCCCAGGAAAAGCCATCCTACCCTCAAGCAGATCAACATTCCTGCCTAACTTGGGATCACCTGCAAACTTAATGAGGTTGCACGTGGTCATTTGCCCAGGTCATTGGCAAAAATGTTAAAGAAAACTGTCCCCAGAATAGTGCCCTGGTGGAAGCCACTGGTGACCAGCTGCCAGCGGGATTGAACGCTGTTCCCTGTGACTCTTTGAGCCTGGGAAGAATAATAAATCATTATCCAAATCAAATCAAAAAGACAACAATTACCAGGCTCAAATACGAGTTGTAATAAACTTTTTTCCAGGTTCTAACCACAGTTTTGCAAATTTTTTTCCATTTTTCCATTTTGCAAATTTGAATCAAGTACAAAAAATATAATGTATGGCACTTTAGGCAGTATATTGACATCATTTATAAATGACAGATCAACTTCCCCCATTTAAAACACGCAGACATTAAACACAATTGGTTTTCTTCAACTTCACCGTTGCCTTCTAAAAGCATCACAGTTGACTCTTCTGTAGGACACAGAGTAATTCATGTAGATCACTACTATAAAGTGGCTTTCATACCAAAAGCATGAGTTACAGCCTTGTTTTTACTTCGTTCTTTACGTCAGCTTGCATGTGCCAATGGACCCCTCCCAGAGCCTCAAGGCTGGGTACACTGGCTCTGTGAACTTGCAGCGGAAGGTGTGCAGGTGAGCCATGCCATCCGTAACGTTGTAGAAGGAAAGGATCCCTGCCTCGTAATCCAGAAAAACACCAACGCGGTCAGGGTCATCTTCTACTGTGAGAGGGATCCTCTCCCCCTTGTGGAATGCCCAGTATTCGAAATCAAACCTTTTGATGCACCACGATGCTCGATTCCAGCCCAGGCGGCAGGTTTCAGAGTCTCCCTTCCTGCCGATGGACGGGTAGGCTGCGCCGATCCACCACCCAGTTCCAGCCTGAAGGAGGTCGACTTCCCAGTAATGGCTCCCGGAGAGGAACCCATCCCTGCTTAGCACCTGCCACAATTTATCGAACCGCTGGGGGCCACAGGGGTAAAATATCCTCCTCCAGTTGCAGCTTACCACTAGACGGTCGTCAGACAACTTCAGCCTCGGATGAAGGCTGTCGTATTCCCAGGTTGGCGATCTTGCATCTGCAATCAAAACCAAAAACGTACATGCTGCATTTATCGTGATCCATCAAAGAAGCCCAAAATTACACAAAGCCTGCAAAAGAGCCCACAGCCAGGCAGTGGCTTGGAAACTGCAGTTTTGGAAGGAAACAGTCATATTTTAATTGGAAAACGCTGCACTATCAACATGCACTGATGGTTCAAAGTTGCAAAGGCTTTAAAGCAGGTCAGTAAAAGACAAATATCTAAAACAGTGTTATGTGTGTTTAACAAATGGTAAGAAGAATACAACTAGCTAGGGAATAAACACAGAGCTTCTACTTTTAAGTGGAATAGTTAGAAACCGGTAGTGTGATGACAGCCTAAGGTTTTTAGAGAGCACCGGAGCAGACTCTTTGGCTGTGAGACCTCATTTCAGTGAGATCACATTTGAAAAATGAGCTGAGTTGGTTTCACAGAGGCACCACAGCTCAGCAGCACGTATGTAGCAAAGGAACAACCCACCAGCTCCCAGGGGACTTACAGCACTAAACTGTCATCTAGCCTGCAACTTACAGAAGAAAAACCACAGTCTGGAACTATATCCTAGAAATCACTGTCTTACTAAGCAGCAGCTCAGAATATTTTCACCACTAAGCAGCTGCTACAGGACTGGAAATCACAAAGCCAGAAAAAGACCTCTATACCCATCCATAGTGTTTCAGAAAGACAAGTAAGCACTACACGAGTTGTGACTAAAAGATGCAGCTGCACGCCATGCCTCCCTTGCCTTGCCATGGCCCCTAACATCAGCTATATTTAACTTTCAGGAACCAGTGGTGCACCAGTCGCTGCTGTTTTATACATAGCCTTGCTAGCAGACTGTCTTGGTCTGGGCTGCACACACCTGGCTATCAGAAACGAAGCAGTTTCTGGGGCAAAGGCGTACAGAAAGGGTTGCTGAAGTGTAAAATGCATGTGAAGGTGCTAGAGAGCCCGCTGCTGGTAATTCTACCCCCTTTGAACTGTACCTGTTTGCTGCAATAAAAGGGAGAGGGAAACAGCACTGTACACGCACAAGTGCTAACAGAAGCACTGCCATTTTCTAACCAAAAATAAAACTTTCGTAATTTTAATTCTGGTATTATGACTGTAGACACCAAGCTGAAACTTCCAAAAGCACACCAACCACCACAGGGATAGGTCTCACACATGCAACATCTTACTGTAGTGATCTCCACTGCACTTTAGGGGTGCAGCACCAGTCAGAAAAGCTAGCACTGGCTTTCATGCAGTCTGCGTAGGTGTTTTAGGTGGGGGAACGCTGCAAACACTCACACCCACCTGCATGTACAGTTGGTGACAAAAGACAGGAAAACAGGAATTAGAAAGGTAAAAACAGCGTGCTGCAGGATCCTCTCTTGTCAATGTCTCTCTGGCTGCCTTTGGGTCTTGGCTTCAAGTCACCTTCCAAGAGGTAAATGGTGAGCATGCTGTTTGTACAGGACACGTAAGACACTGGGTCCAAAAGAGACTGAAAGTGTCACTTGAAAGTAGGGATGATTTTAAAGGCCTGGCTTCAGTGTCTGCTTCTCTTCGAGAAAGCACTTGAAAAGCTGTGCAAATTGTTGGTGTCAAGTCTGTCAAATTTGCCTGAAAACCTAGGTTTTCACAAAACGCATTCCTAATAAATAAATTGCTACTAAAATGAAAATATGTCTGTTGCTTAAAACAAACAAACAAACAAACAAACAAACAAAACCAAGAACTGAATGGCATCTGGATGCCAGTATATGAGAGCACGGATGTGCATTTGGCTAGAAAAATAATGCAAAACAGCTGGAGTTGTTTGGATTACTGGAGGACGTGCCATTTTTCCCAAGTAGTAGCATATCTAAGTGACTTTAACTCCAAATACTCATTTATCACTAAGGCTTGACAATTTTGCTGGACTATGAGCAGCTGCATCCAGCATCTTAGTGAGGTTTGTTATTTTTAGGTTTAAGAGTTGAGATATAGTCTTTTTGGCCCTTAGCGAGATGTCTGCTCACACGTGAAACAAATGGCGTACTTTCTCTATGAATCCATCAGGGGACAACCTGAAGGAGATGGATAAAGACTGGCATTCGTGAAGACTGAGAGCCCACTTCACAGCCAGACAAAAGTTTCTGCAGTGCTCTCTTTCTGGCTAGAGCTCATTGACGCGTACTACCTGTCCTAGCACCCTAAAAAGATCAAGTTATGGTTACAAAGTGAATGACTCAGTCTGGATCCTGCAGCGCAGAGATGATGCAAGCGTAGAAGGACCCACTGCCATCACAGCCAGCAGATGCCATGTTAACAGGGAACCTGACAGCTTTTGGATTAAGAACAGCCACAGCACTCATCTGCTGCAGGCCGCTTGAAATGTTCATTAGCTTTCCATCAGGGAGGTGAAACAATTTGCTATACATCTTCCCTACCAATACCAGAGGAAATGATGACCTGTGGATTGTCCCTAGACAAACTACATAGAATCACATAACTGTTAAGGTTGTAAAAGACCTCCACGATCATCTGGTCCAACCCTCCATGAATGTCTTTAAAAAAAATAAATTATCCATTAACTGACTCACACACTGCCAGTTTCGAATAAAAACAAAGGATCAAGACTTCACAGGCAGAAACTAAAATTCCTTTCCCAACTTGAGGTAGAGAAAAGGGTACTGGCTCTCAAGCAGGGCTAAGAATTTGCTCCTCCCAAACAGCAGGAACCCTCTTAAGAGACCTGTTCAAGATAATGAACAGGTGGTAGCACACATTCATTGACTGCTTCAGTGATTAAGCCACGAGTGTTTGGAGTGCTTCTAGCTTTTGTGCAACCATACTTACGTTTTAAGAAAAGCAACCGATCGACAGGAGACATGGTTTTCAGCATTGTTCCAGGCTCCTTCTTTGTGGTGGCGTTCAGGCTGCTGAAAACGTCTGGGCAGAAATCAAAAGGGACAGTTTAGGTAAGTCTATCAGTGGAAGAAGAATGCTCTACTCTCAAGATTTTAAAAATAAAATAAAACGACGGGGGATTTTGTAAGACAGTTTATTTGGGTTTTATCTCTTTGCTGTGAATTCCACCCACATCCTGAGTAAGGTATACAGTCACCCTATATGCCAGTTTCATGGGACATTCTGTACTACTTTTATTGGAAAAAGGACACTCACTCTGCAAACTTTCTACTTTAAGCTCTTTGGATAGCATAGAGATGCTAGATCCCAGTGATGCCACGGGACTTCACAACCCAGTACAACCCTAGGAAAGCACCTGCCATTCCTCCAAAACCACCCCACACACCAGGTGAGAACCAGGTGAAAGAGAAACCTCACGTGTTCCTACATCTCCACAGCTATAGCAACATAACACCAGTGCTGCCAGAGAACAGCACACATACCTGAAATGCTTGCTTTCTCCAGCTCAGTTTACTTAGTAAAAGAAAATTACAGACCTCACTATATTTAGAAGGAGGCCAGGAGGAAGCAAAATTCACAGCACTCTTGCAAATACCTTCTTTAAGCCGGACCTCTAG